ATTTGGGATATGTTCATGCAATGATGTAGTAACCACTAAGTTATATATTACGTAGTTTAAAACAAAAAAAAAAAACATCCTAATTCAAAGCTTATATTATATAATATTACTGCGAATACATATGCAATTGCTACGATATTATTTATTTCCATACTATAATATTTGAATTCACCAAAAGATATAAAATATTTACTAATATTTCTTAAATTATATCAATAATATAATGTCCATAGACAATTAGAAAAAAAAATTCAAAATTAATGTCATAATTTACTTATGATGTGAAAATTGATTTACTTAATTTATCATAAAATTTTATTATGCACTTATAATTATATAATCATTTTTCATTATATATATATATATATATATATATATATATATATATCAGAACTCATTTTTACAATAAGAATAATTACATTAAGAGAAACAAATTTTAAAATATTATTAGATTTTAATTAATTATTGAAAAAGACAAAGAAAATTTGAATATTCTATCTCAAAATAGTAGCGTGTTGCAATTAATAATAGTTAATTAATAAATGACTAATAAAAATATTATAAAATTCATAAAAGTAAATTTAATATAATTTTTAAATAAAAATATCAATATTTAAACACAGATCCGTAAAAATTCTTTACATTAAAAATTATTTATTATATTTGTATGCACATATCACATACGCAAGTACTCACAAAATGTTCGATAAGTACCTGTAGATGGGATACTTTTTGCATAAATCTTGTAGTCATTCTTCAAATGCAACAATACTTAAAAAATGTTCTGCGTATGTAAATCTACAATTTTATCGTTCTCTACTCCGATAGTGCATAAATACAGTTACCAAAAAAAAAAAAAAAAAAAAAAAAAAAAAAAAAAAAACAACAACGCGTAGAATGAAGAATTCGCAATATTTATTCATAAAACTTTATATTCTTAAAAATGAAGCGGAATAAAATGAATAAAATATAATAAATTTTTATTTTTCACCTGCTTACTTCCACTTTAGCGGAAATGGTGATAAATAATTTTAAATAAACAAACATATTATATAATAATAATGCATTGTTGTTTTCGTGTAAGGAGCTAAAAAAATTTTACATAATATATTATCAAATATCATGTATTTATTTTATTTTATTATATATAATTACATTTCATCAAAAGGTTGGAATTTAAATTTTTGAACTCTATTCAAATCTTTATTTTTTGCATTATTTGTTTTTATAAACTTATTTTTATTCCCTTTTATGATTGTATTTTTATATTATAAAAATCTTAAAATATTTTTAATTTTCATTATTGTATGATTTTTTATAGTGAAGAAAAATAATAATTATTGATATATATAACATACAATAATTAACGGTTCATAATCGCCCAAAATAAAAGCAATTGATATGAATTGAAAGAATTTTATATCGAATTTAATTAATTTATGTTTTTAGTAAAATTTCCAAAATTATAAAAAATGATTTACAAATATTAAGCTTAGAATAAATGATATATTAATATATTTTCAAGCTTGATTTTATAGTTTTAAAAATGTATTTGTTTAAATAAAAATTAATTTATTAACAAAATATTATTTACGCCTTTAATTTTTATATATTTTGTTGTTATAAATATTTTTAATAAAAACCAATGAATTTTAACATAAGTAAATCATAGGTGTTTTAAATTAAATATAACTTACGATTTAATTTGTATGTTACAACACCGGTGATAATATATTTGTTGATAGTTTGTTAAAAAGTAAATAATATATAATCAGTAGAATAATAGTTATAACAAGTAGTATATTATAATAGATGCTTTTGGCAAAAAATACTTTTTACTATTTCTACCATCGGTCGAAATCATTATTAAATTATTCATTCATTTATCAACTGCAGATAAATACTAGAGACATTGGATATATTACCATACTTTAGCAACTGTGCGTATTCAAAATACATGCGAATATTGGATTCATTGAATCTGAAAAATGTGATATTTACGTGTACAAAAAAAAATTGTTATATATTCTTTATATAAATTTGTTTACCAATACATATAACATTATTCAATAGATAAGAAAAATTATAATTTCTATTAAAATTCCATTAGCGACTCTTATTTTAGCGACATAATAATAATAAATAAGTTTCATTACACTTCACAACAAATTAAGTTGATTATGTTTCATTATCATTTAAAATATTTAGTGAGAAATATGAGCGAAAAATAACAACAACGTATGTTTATTCTTATTATTTTACCATTTTTTTTTCGTATCCATTAATTTTGAGTCAAGTCGTATTTGAGTTAAAAATTAGTAAGTTTTTAATTTCGGCAGTCTTATACAGATACTTATTTCTTATTAAAGGGATAAAAAATTTTAATCTATGAAATTATTATAGTATTGTTTGTATTATATAAAAATATAATGAAAAATTCCTTTCACTTAGGAGAAATTTATGGTTTAAATATTGACATATTTACAATTGCAATCATTTACTTTAATCTAATATAGAATAATGATTTTAAATAATATAAAATAATATAATCTAGTAGAATATACTATTTTGTATAGTAAAGACATGTTATAGTGAAACTTTTATATGATATATAATTAAATATTTTGAACACAGCAATTTATTGCACAATTTCATTAATATATTCTTTCTATTTTGTATACTCGAAAATCATTTTTTTCAAAAATGTTCGAAACTTTCCATATAATAGTGGGTTATTATTGTATAGTTAATTTAATGACTATAAAACGTTAAAATATATTAATAAACAAAATTATAATTTAATCATAATTTAATAATGCTTGTTGTGCAGAAGTTACTTTGAAAATTAAAAATTTTTAAAAATACAATGAAATTATTCATACAAACGGAAGAATGAGAAAATTTGATATTTAGTAAAAATAAAATCCAAAAATTGAAACATTTTTATAACAATGATTATATATTGAGTTATAAAGTAATAACAAAGGATATGCCAGAAAGTATTGAAATTTTCTGAATAGTTTTTTGATCGGCCGTAAAATAATGTGACCGACACCGCGTTTTCGCTATTTCCAATTTATCGGATATAATATCATTATCTCGAAACGTCAAATATAGTATGATTATATGTCATGATCCAATATTTCAAATTGGGTGTCATATGGTATTCCAATAATATAGGCAAACGATCGCTCATTGCTAATAATAGTGTTTGCATTATTCATTTGCAGTTTACATGTGCAGTGTGTAATAAGTACGTAGGAATCGACTTTGTCGATATAAATTACGATATATTCAAAGACTCGAGATTTTCTTTTGACAATCCAACCTACCTTACGAACGTCCTGATAATATTCAGATCTTTCACAGAATTAAAAATCATTCGACAATTAGTTTGAAACGAGTTTTTTAACGATCAGTATTTAACAGTAATAATAGTATGACTGCCATTCTTTAAAAATTCAATGTTTTATCAATACTAATAGCAGTACTTTCATGTATGTGACATCATTAAAAAATAAAGACAATATAATATATTAAAATGCCAAATTATTACGTATGCCTATTTTATTTAGTGAGAATTATAAATTTAATTTAAATAAAAATCAATAACAAAATTTTTTAATCAATAATAGTTGAAAAAACTTCAAATTTAAATATATATATATATATATATATATATATATATAGCTTCAATTAAGTATTTTTCCTATTGATTCTATTAAATTAATAATTATTAATTATTACTCTATTACATAAAAATAAACAATTAATGAGAATTTAAAAAATACATTTAAAGTAGGTTAGACAATATGCTGGTCATAATTATAATTTATTTAAATTATATATAGATCATTGCAAGGCTCCATTCCAACTTTCTTTGATAGGTAAGTGCATATAAATAAAAGATGCTTCGACAATTATTTCGATAAGCAGTCTGTATACATTCACTGATCGTTTTTTACAAAAATTAATAAATACACTAATAATGAGTTGGACAAATTGTAGAGACTATACAAAGGTATTTAAATTACGTGATAACGCCTTGAAAGTACCGTTGCACTTAAAAAATTCCCCTCTTCACCGTCAAAATAATATGAGGCACGAATATTAACATTGTTCCGTAATAATGATTTATACATTTATAAATATAAACTCTCGCTCCTATTCGTCATTTGCTTTGCTCTAAAATTACATATATAAATATGTATATATTTATTATACATTATATTATAATAAAATATAAGGTCAATCTTTAATATTTCTAACATACCGTATTATCATTCGTTCTCCATTTATAAATTTCCTTCATCTCAGTTATTGAGAAGTCATATTTATTGCATTCAAACTAATCCTCTCAGAGTGACAATTGAGAAGTAACGAGGAAACAATCCATATTCCTCATAGTCGATTTGCTTCATACGATTATAAGTAATGAGCTTCTAATATCAAAAATACATCTTTATTTAATTTGGTTCAAAATTAAATAAACAGAATAACATTTTTATATTATATTCATTTTTTATACATTTCACTTTATCGATAATAAAATTTATATAAAAATAATTTTTTTTATACAATTAATTAGTATTTTTCCATTTTTCAAGTACAATCTTAACAAAGTAGGTTATTTTTAAACATGAAATATTGTACAATAATGGAAAATAGTTTGGTTTTTATTATTTTCACACACACACACACACACACACACACACACACACATATATATATATATATATATATATATATATAATATAGTTTAAATATCTAATTATCATATTAAACAAATTAAAAAGCTATGAATTCTACCTAAGCTTAAAAATGAATAAACTTTCTAATTATTAAAATTAATTAAAATAAGAGTATATACATATCATGACTAAATAAATGTATAGAAGATAATACAACGATAATGTTATTATCAATATCTACATTGTAAATTTATGTGTCATATTTTATTCGTCAGAAAAATAAAAATAATAGTAAATTTATAACACCTATAGATATAGCAATTATTTACAATTCTAATTATCGTTATATAGAAATATAATTAATTATCGATCATTCTTTTTCGGACATTCTTGTTTCCCAATTTTCTTTTTTTGAAAGAAAGTGTAGGACCATCGTCGTCGCTGTCACTGTTACGAAGATGAGTTATAGCTTTTTCCTTAAAAATTTTTTGTGACGATGGTTCTTCAAAATTTATAACAGTCGCCACGGGTGCTTTAACTTGAGGTAGTTGAAAATCTATTTTCGGAGTTTCACTAAAAGGCAATAATTTAATTTATAAATAAACTGACGAAAAAATAATACAAAGCAATAAAAAAATTCTGACATTTTTCTAACGACTTCCCAGGATCCGTATGGTTGTGGCTTCAACGGTACACTATAATCTCTCCTATAAGGTACTTCTTCAGACTCCATATTTTGACTATTTTCATTATCATTTTTCGAAATTTGCATTCGAATATTTTTAAACTTTTCCCTTTCGGCATTCGCTCTCTGTTCTTCCAACATTTCTGTTCTTTCTTGTTCCTTTTCCTTTTCTAATTCATCTAAGAACTTTTCTTGAATTTCTTGTTCTTTAGCTTCCTCGGCTTGTTCTGCTAAGGAGACAAATCCTTCTACCGGTGCATCCCACACTGATTCTAGAACAAAATTTCATTATTGATTTTTTTTTAAGAATGTATGAGGATGATGAAAATACACCAATTAAAAAAGAAGTTGATATATAAACGTGTACGCCTAGGAATTGATAAGATGAAAAAGTATATAAATATTCCAATTCTATATTAGTAGATAATATATATATATATATATATATATATATATATATATAATTTTGCTATATAAAGCCACTGCCAAATTTACGATGATAACCTTCAATTTCTATTCTCTATAGGACTGTAAAAGCTACATTAACGATTTGAATATAATAAAAACAAACATAATAATAATAATAAGAATATTATTGGTAAAATTTTATTAATGAAATATTATAAGTAGCTTTTATATTTAAATAATTAATCATAATATATTATCCAAGTTTATTCCGAATTCAATATTAATTTTCTAATTATTAAAATATTATTCAGTGTATTAAAATAAAGATATTGCTAATATCAAATATTCATAATTATGTATTTATGCAAAGAAACGAAAATACTATTTACATTATTATTAAAAATATATAATATCAAATACATAACATAAATTTCTAATGTTAATAAAAACTATTTCAGTGGAAATATATTTTTCTACGCATTTTGTAAAGTTTAAAAATTTATTTTAGTTAATTATTATATTAACGCAATAGATACGACTGACAAAAATATTAAAATCTCTATAAAACGCTGAATTTAAGATTTATATTTTTTTAATAATTAAAAGTTATTTTTATCAATTTTCAGCGTTCACTATTGTTATAAATACTTTTAAATACTTTTAAATATTATCGAATTGCTATTTATTATAAAATAATAAATATTAATGAATGTATAATATAAAAATATATACCATTTGTTTCTATATTCCAATAATATGAGTGCCCTTGTGCTTTTGCTTCGTACCAAAGTCTTTTAATTAGTGGCTTAGTCTCATCTTCATTATTTTTTGTCGTTTTATTCTTATTTTTCTCAGACTTACTCGAGCCTTGAGATTTATCGTTATTTTTTTCTATTTCTTTGCGACGTATCTCGACTTTTGCTTGGCAAGCTGCTAATCGAGCTAGTTTTTGTTTAGCATATGGATCGAAAGGATCGATATCGGCTGCACCATACTTAAAAAACATTAATGTATTGTATTAAATAAATCATAAGAAACATTTATATGCACATTTATACGTATCTATCATTATTAAATATTTGTTAAAAGTAATAATCTGTATTAGTTAAACCTAATTATTATATTGTAAAATAAATAAATGAGCAAAAATATTCGCAAGAACTCATTAAAAAATATGTAGTCTAAAATATGCAATTCAATAATGAAATAAACAATCTATTCTTATGAAATGCACGAATAGTATTAATATTATAAATTTTATATGAAAAAAATGCTATCATTTGAAGATAAAATGTGTAATTAGAGTTTTATTAATAGTAGCAAATGAATAAAAAATACTTTGTACGTTTTTAAATTGAATACAATTAAGCAAATAATTAGAAGAATATCATTATGAAAATACTTACGGTTTGAAAATATTTGGATTCATTATATCTTGATTTAACTTCCGTTGCAGCAGGTGTATGATTTGAGTTATGAGCTACTTGCTGCTTTTTCTTCAAAATGTCATATATATACAAACATAAATTATACAAATATAATAAAGATAAAAGTTAATAAGTAATATAATAATTTTTTAATATAATACAACTGACCAGCTACTTACTTTATTATCTTCGATTTTGTTTTTCTTATTATTTATGATATTATGAGCTGTCATATCTTTGTCATTGCTCTCTATATCCTTGAGGTAAGCAGCCATCGCCGCCTAAAAAATAAAATTTATTTAAACGTTGGATCATAACTATTATACCTCCAATTTAATTCCAACATATAGAAAAACAGTGTATAAAACTTTTATTTATAACAATGAAAATTTATCAGAACTGAAAACCGAATAAATGTTTGTAATAATTGCAATGTATAAATAAAAATTAATATTTAATGAAAATTGTGACCGACCTTTTCCATTTTTTCCATCTCATTCTCAAATTTCAGCTGCTGTTTGGCTTGCTTAGAACTGTTTTTATGGATTTCCCTCAATCGTTTACTAACATTTTCTTTATGTTTTTTACCATTTTCATGGTACTCTATACTAGGTTTATTATCAGCAATCCAACATTTACAAAAATCACAGTATTTGCGTGCTTGAGATTTCCAATAGTCCGCCCTAAAACATAGTATATAAGAAATAATTTGTGATTTTTTTAATAACATGTTTATGTTATTTTACTAACAACATATGTAGCTTTCTTAAACCGATGTAAAAATTTACATCAGAAAAATGCTGTAATAATTCTGAAATTTATGTATAAAAATATCAAGATTTATATCTTAATAAATAAATAAACAAAACTATTATTTTTGCTACCAGAAGCTACTGAAATATAGTAATAGAAATTAATAAAAATAATGTATACCAATGAAAAAATTTTGATGAATTTGTGATAAATATAAACGATGATTCGATAAGAACTTGCTTTAATAAGAAATTTCACTGTAATTGTTATACAACGGTATTCCACAGAATAATGGCTTCCAAAGAATTAGTTGTAAAGTTAATTTTTTTTTTTAATTTCATAAATAAATGATTTTTATTTAATAATAATTTACATTAAATCATTTATCATATATATATTTAATAAATACATGTGTATGTATATATATATATATATATATATATATATATATATATATATATATAGTAATAAATGCAAATTAAATATTCTTATAACTTTATTCCTTTGAAATATAAATATAAATATAATCCTTTATAATAACTTGTTTATCTTATCGTAATAAATTCTGATATTAAAGCCATTCTGTATGTTTAGCTTACCCTTGCATTAATAAAACATACATTAGCAAAACTAAGATGATATTGAATTGAAATATCATGTATGTATTCCTCTCGAAATAATATTGCAATTAATAAAAAATACAAATACAATATATGCAATTAAAATAGTACATGTGTTCATGTATATATGTACATTGTAACAAGTTACACTATAATTACTTAATTTGTTGTTCGCACTGATAAGAAAATACTAAAATAAATTTTGTCATGTCCTTTAATGAATTAATACGTCTGTTTTAACTCATATCCTCATATTTTACTAATTGATAATTTCTTACTTAAAATAATGCTTAGACTAAAGAGTATTATTTATCCATAAGTTATTAAATATTTAAATTGATTCTAGAAAGCTCATAATAAATATAAATACTGGTGAACGTGAATAAGAAAATATTAAATTATTTGATGAATATTATGAGGTTGTATGCAATACTATTTATTATTTCCAATTTATGAATATATTTTATTTTTATTTAATTAACACGTTAAAGACAAAATAGTTTTAAAGCAGAAATATATTTTCATTTATTATTGTATTTAAGAAATGTATAAATTGTAAAGTACTTAATTAATTTATTTATTCTATATAAATATGAAATGTTCAAACCAATTAACATTTATTCTCTTTTTTGGCAGCAATATATTTATTAATGAAATTATGTATAATTATTTTGAAATTAATTTAAGCTCTTGATATATAAATCATAAAAATTTCTGTAATAAATCGTACAATAGGAATACTTTGTCAATTACAACTGAAAATTGATGTGTCGATTGACGTTGTACTATAAATAACTATAATACTAAATAAAATTTATATATATATATTTATAAGCATGATACGTATACATTTTATAATACATACTTTGCAACATATCTTCGGATGTATTAACTAAACTAAATAAAATTAATACTTTAATAGTATATTAAAGTTAATCAAATTCATGAAAAACCAAATTGTATAAAGAACCATATTGATAAACGTTTAACAACAAACCAAAGATATTTGTACTAATTGTATCGTTGATAAAGTATGAATGGGAAAGATACTATGAAATATTAATAATATAAAAAAAAAAATTAAATGTTAAGTAATTTTGATAATTTCCATCAATATAAAGACTTATTAAAAGTATAATTGATTTTTATTAAATATTCGTTCAACGCCAATATAATATTTAATATACTTTACGGTAATTTAAGCTATAAGATATCGGATAAAAATGAAAATGATTTATTAAAAAGAACATTCATATTATGAATGCTCACAAAATTTTATTAATATAAAGAAAAATATACGAAGTTATAATAAAATTGAACTAATGTATCTTTTAACCAAATATAATAAAGGTGATATGAAATAGGACTCATTTAATTGTTAATTTCAATAAGAAATTAAAAAATAGAAAATAATATATAAAATAATGATTATGAAAATATATATATTGATCTGAAACCCCATTAAAATTTAATAAATATGATTATGAATCTAAGGCCAACTATTATTTTGCAAAATATATGTAAAAAAGAAAGGACATATATGTAGGTATGTATAAACATATATATATATATATGCATTCGCATTCATATAAATACGCAAATACAAACTCGCATATATCCGTTTGTGTACATCTGTATTTATGTGTGCATAAAAGAATATATAATCAAATACATATTCATGAAAGCAGAAATACATTTAGTAAAAAAAAATTCATTATAAAACTGATTTTACTATAGGGACGTAGAATCGTTAAATTTAATTATACTTTAAGGGTCATTAATTGCTTCAAACGGCTAATAAAATGTTTTACCTACCTACTATATCTGTGAACATGTAAGCATTTACTTCATTTATTTTGCAAAAGTTTTAACTAATTTTGCAACATCTTTAAGATTCGACATTAACATATAAAAAAGAACGATATATTTGAACCTGTCATTTAAAATATATATTGAAAAAAACTTTGCATATAGCAAAATCAAATAGATTAGATTTCTCTTCGTATGCTTAACTCTTAATTAAGACAATGTTTATATTTTATAGATCTTTTATTATTTGCACAGCACCAGAAAATAATATTATCGTTCGTAAAGTCTTTTAGAATCCCTATTATGTTTTCTATTGATAATTAATGTATAATTTTTTACGATGAATTTATAGAAAAGAATTTCTTTAAAAGTAAAATCATCTACACTTTATTTTGATAATGTATAATACAGCTTACATTATGGTTATAATTTATATGATCACGAATATAAATTTTATAGGCTTCTTTGACTTTTACTTATGTTATTACGCAAATATTTAAATATTATTAAATTAAATATCATTAATTATATAAAATTTATAGTTAGCGCCAATAACTTTCGTACGACATAATACGTAAATAAATATATGCACACAAAAAAAAAAAGAAACAAAAAGAAAACTATAATTTTATATATTGTTCAATATATAAAATGAAGTTTAAAGAAAAAAAAAAAGTATCGCAAGATGTAATACGTTAAGTACGAATATTTAAATAATAATATCTAATTAAATCTTGGCGAGCTACAAAAGTGACAATTGAAAATAAGAGCCTTGATAATCCACTTTTTTGAAACTGAAAGCAAGCCAAATGAATCATTTGCACAGGGCTTCATTAATATAAATGGTTAACCAAAGTCGCATTGATGATAAACTCTCTTATATCTGGTTTAATAACTAATGAAAACTAATACAAATGACATTAGCAATGAATACGTGACGAGAAAGGAGACTTGAAAATAAATCAGACATGGCGTATCTACTTTTCATTAGAAACAGCAACTCGTTCAAGGCACTGTCACGTCCTGTAACTCATTCGATCTACGGAAGTTTGCCAAATTTATTTGCTGGGGCATTTCTGGTCGACTAGTGGCAGCTCATAGTCACCGAGCTGCCAGATTTTCTTACCAAGTCATTTTAACAAAATTATCGGGGCCATTAATAAGCATCGTATAGTTTTTTCATTCATCACGTGATTATATATAAATTGCTTAATCGAGCCTTTTTTCATGTCTGGTATATTAATATTTGAAAGTCCAAATGTATTCATCAATTCGACAATATTTAATTGAGAATAGTATAAAATTAATAAATATAACTTTTTATCGTGTAATATTATTTGTAATCAAGTAATTTAATCAATATATATTAAAAGTTACAACTTATTTGCTGAGAAATCGAATGTTTCTTTATATTTTTTTAAATTATAAACAATTATTAACATTATTTTAACTATAAATGAATAAATTTATTTCAACCAAGTTAAGACTTCCTTTAAACATTTTATAATAATTTAAATTTACAAATAAAATGATTAGATCTAAAATTAATATCTATGATTTACAAATTTTGTAATTTTATAAATTGCTAAATACGCGATATAAAAAGCTTGTATACTCTATTTATTTCAATTCTCTATAAACTTTATACTGTAAAGCAAATTTATTAAATATATATATATATATATATATATATATATATATATATATATATACATCTACCTTTATTACGGACTAATTAAGTGAAAAATCGATTAAATTATCATTAAATAGCAAATAAATTTGGTTATCATCATTGGAAGTAACTATTAATTATTTCGTCAGCTAAACATTTTAGGTAACAAAAATAATGATTTCAATATCATTGAAATATTATGTATAAAACTATAAAATCACTGTACTATTATTAATAATATGTATTAAAGTATTATTTATTGAAAATAAATACAATAAAATTATTATATATTTTATTGTAAATTTTAAATTACTTAATATTAACTAAGATTTAACACACGTAATGAATGAGACTATAAATTCTATAAATTTATATGGAAATATATATATATATATTACGTCTAGAAAAAAAATATTTGTATTTTAAAATTATAAAATTTGACATATATTTATAATTAATAAAAATTGACTAAATCATTAATTAGAGACATTTATAGACAGAGATACATATATATGCGTTTGAAATTACAATTACTCCGTCAATTATAACGATAAACCATTTATACAACTAAATTAATATTTATATTGTAAGCTTATGAAATTTTGAAAATATATTAAAAGTTGTTTATTAAAACTTATTTTGTTTCTTTTTTCCGTATAATTATTTCCTTGATAGCAGTTATTAAAAAATTTTTTTTAATATAAGTAGCTATGATTATAAATTATAATTTGAAAATAATTTATTAACATTTAATGAATCAATCATTTTTCTCAACCGCCTAAATTCAATTAATCTTCAAAACGCGAGTAAAGTCTCGGTAAAACTAACCATAAGATTTCAAATATTCACTTATAATAAATATAATTCATAAGAGTTCTAAAAATGTTACAAGTATATATTAAAAATAATACTAAAGTAAATATCATGGAATAGGCCTTTGCCTACAAATTTTATTTACATATTATATATTAACAAAATTAGAATACAAATTGAATTACAATACATTATTATTAAATTTCAATAATACATAGTAAATATACACTTGTATCATTGAATCACAAATTACATATACCTTGACATAGTTTGACTAAGTATATAATGTTAAATTATATTACGTACGAAGATATTTAATAAGAGGACATTTTCAAATTAACAAAAGATCTCCTGTAATATTTCAAAGTGTATTTTTTATAAATTTATCAAACGACTAAATATATGTTATATATAATATAATATAATATACCAAGTTTAAAAAATAATTACTTTATTTTTCATATTTATAATTTTTATAAAAACTATGTATTTTAATCCCTAATTAAACTAATTAATTATACTTGATCATATATCATTTCATGCATTAAAAAAATATTAATAAAAACAATGCACAAAGTTTGTAATATAAATCCTATAAATACTTCTGTATGTAAAATTGAGCTTTTTCTTTAAATTAATTGCTCTAATTTATTTAATTACTGTCAATCGCTGAATAACTTAAAACTACTTAATAGTCCCTGTAATTGTTAAATTTTTTTACAGCTGCTTAGAATTATATAAAGATAAAAAAAAAATACACGGTTAAACCGTTTTTAATAAAAGCATAAAAAAAAATGTCATATAAATAAAGTTTTAAGTCTAACTCGCGATAATAATAAATTTGCTCACGAACCGATTTGTAGGTGTATAGTTAATGTAAAAAAATATCTCCTTAAACATCTCCTGATATTTTATTATTCTATTTAAACCATAGAATTTCTACTTAAAATAAATTAACAACTGCTTGCAACCTATTGGATCATTAGCCCTTAAGTATTTTATTTATTGAATAGAATGTTTTTATGTTTTTACATCAGCTTATATTACTTAAGCATATATTACAAAATAAGATTATAAAAATTATTTATTTACTTGATATTTTATTAACATACATTTTATTAATTACTTAAAGTAATTGATGTTGAATGGAGGTTCTTGTATAATACAATTCTTTGCTAAATAATAGAAGTTGAATAACCTAGAATTATAATTATATAAAATATTCGGTATTGTATACAAAACTCGTTGGCATTGCTTCACTATTAATAAAATATCTTTATAATGTTTTTAATCATACATCGTGTTAAACAATAATAACATTGTTCTTCAACATTTAGATTTTAATAACTCGATTACACATAATAAAATTATGAATTACCAAATTATAAATTATGTTTTATGTGTATTGATATAAATTTATTAATGTATACATAAATTAAATTTATTATTACTGATCAGTATTTACCAGCATATATCCTTATAGTGTTTTTAACATTTTAAAGGTACGCTATAGTAAATATATTGAATCATTATTTACAATTTATTGTATGAAATAATTAATAATTGAACTGATGTATAAAAAATATTTAACGAATCTACATACCTTAAGAACATACTGTTATTTTGTGAGAATATTGTCAGTTAAAACATATTATTATTTAATATCATTTATAAAATTTTCATCGTGTAAATATTCAAACACATTATAGATTTTAGAACAATTTAAATTAAATTTTATTAAAATAAAATGAGCCAAAGGGCAGGAAAAATTACATAAAACATAATATATATATATATATATATATATATATATATATATATATATAATAAATTTGAATTCTATTTCACTACCATTTAGTGTAATATAATTTTTTTTTTTTTATCAAATTTTCATCATATTCAGGATTGCATTTATGAATACATTCTTCCAAAAAGTAATAAAAATGAACAATGCCAATTATTCCTACCGTACTCATTTCTATTCAATAATCTATTACTAATTCTACTAATATAATATCATGCTATATAAAAAATTTATTAACTTATATATAAATGACAAAAACTTGTTATAATTTCTATAGATTTCTTCTTTTTAAAATATTTCATATTGTTTTACAATTATTATTGAAAAATCTAAAGTTCTCTTAGGTAAGTTCTCTTTTATTTTTTATTTAAATGTCATAGTTTTGTATGAAATAAATGATCTTTTAAAATGTCACAAGAAGTACGTTGATAATAATACTACTTATAAAAAATATAAGATATTCAGAAAAATTTATTCTTCAAAGTATTGATTAGAAACAATTGTATCTCAAAATTAATAATATAAATAGCACTTTATTTATCAAAAATTACTTCCTTATCTGATTCCCCATACCTAATGACAGATTTCGGACATACTGCACATACCAATTGATTTTTCCTTCTACCAAACATATTTTCAAGGCAAGTGTACTGTGAGCATCGGTCTGTCTCAGTTTCAGTTTCATTTTTGGTACATTGTTTAACTTATTTTTCTGAGTACTAAATATACACTAAATAAACATACTCAGAATCCTCATATTATGTGCACATATTACGATGATCTATAATGACATTAAAAAAACATATAGGTATAAAAAAATAGAAAAACTAACTGAGGATGGAGGGCAGACACAATGGTGAAATGTGTAGAGAAACTTTCCCAAAATACACGTACATTCTGACTCTGATATATACAAATAAATATATAATCCGATATCTGCTCGGGTCGTGCGTTGGCCGCTTGCGAGACGCAAAAGCAAGTCAAGTGAACGTATTGAATATTTGACCTGTTTTTGTTTATGGAAATTCTACAGTCCATCACTACACATTATCTTCATTCATTGTAAAATAAAAAAAATAAAAAAAAAAAATACGTTGCACGAAATACATATGATTCGCACATTGAACAAAATTAATGCAGTCGTAATTCATTCAATCTTTATTATTTATGATTAAACATCATGTTTCAACGGCAATTAAATTCAATTTTTTTAATATCTTGAAAATTCTATGTTGTTAAATCTAGTTGTGAACAATATCAATCTATAGTTTTTCAGAATATAAATTTATAATATAATAGGTATAAAAAGTCATTAAAATTTTAGGTAATTATTGTTCAACTCTTTCTTATATTAACTTAGATTTGGCATATATTTAATTCTATTTTTTGATCGATTATTTTATAATTGGTAAATAATATAAAAACTTAATGGAATAAAAATTTGTGTATACTTACATTTATATTTTACATAGATTTGATACAATTAAGTATAAAAACAATCTTAAAATTAAGCTCTGCATGAAATAAATAAAAAGTGCATATTTATGAATAAATTGTTCTTGATTATTTTTGATATATTTTATTATAATTTTAAAATCCCAGGTTTATTTTTATATAAATAAATTTTATATGACAATAAATATTTTACATTAAATTTTAATCTAAATCTAACAGATTTATGTAGTAGATGGATTATAAATGATATAACATTATTCATAATTTTTTTAAAAAATATTTACACTAGAATTGTTTATGAACAAATAATTTATTTCATATTAATTAACATAGATATCAAGTAATTGTACTAATTAATTTATTTGAATATTTAAAAATTTTTTTATTTTTTAAGGATTAATCTTAAATAAACTTTTTAATAAAATTAAAAAGTTTCTAGATTAGTTTAAAGTATTGGATATGTCTAAGTTACATACGGTTAATTTCATTAATTATATTAATAATTGAGTATGATAGTTACGAATTCAATAGTTACTTTCTTATTATATTAATTCAAAATTTTATATGTACGGTTTATATGCAGGACAAATTAAACATCATCTCAAGATTCATATAATGATGAAACTATTTGAGTATAGTCACATAGACACACAATTTTGTAGAAATTTTATTGTTTTTTTAGGTATTTATTGAAATAAATGCTGTAGTTTGTAAAACAACAAAATCTATAATGTATGTATGTGCAGTTGAATAGTCAAAGACTTTTATGGATACTTAAAAATTATTATTGTGTAAGATATAAAATTTTAACACATAAATACACATAAAGTAAATTTCTTAAGATTTAATATTTCAAAAACATAGTTATTTGTGTTTCTAAACTAAAGACTCAATCTGTACGTTGTAACACATCAAAAATTGTGCGATGACCTTCAAGATTAATCTGTTGGATATTTCTAAAAATATTTTGCTTAAAATTAATTTCTATTTATCTCTACTTTTCTACGATATTTTCTTAAAATTTCACAAATAAATATAAATGAAAAAATTTATTCTATAAATATATATTCATTCACAATGTTTTAACTTACTATTGCAATAATTCTTGAATTTCCTTTTTAACTACATTTATATTTAATACAATTCATGAATGCAAAATATCATTATTTTTAACATTCGTTTTCAAAACTGCCACTTCTATTCTAATATAACATGATACAGTTTACTATTTGTCAATTGAACTATACACTTAATCATCGTTCATATATTATCATAAAGAAAGATTTCTACTTTATGTTTCGAGAAACTAGTGTACATTCATGTCTTATTCTAAAACGCTGGAAACAATTATTTGGCTCTGCATTTAATTTTTCTATATTAAAGATACATTATAATTTACAAAATTTTGTTATATCAATATTCATTGCAAAATCGAAATATTAAGGCACGGCTAATCAGACTATTACTATCATTAATATTATTATAAATTTTAGCTTTATTTAATGTAGAAATGAAGATTTATTTCATCAACAGGATAAATTTCTTTTGTTGTATTCTAATATTTCTAAAAATATTCTTTACTGCTGCTCAATCAAATTATTTAAAACGACTGTTTAAACACTTTAATTACAACATTGCTTTCTATCTAATATAAATAATCGAAACAAACTACAAAATATTCACTGTTCAAATATATTTATTTAAATATCAATAAATTTTAAGTAATTTTTTTTTATAATTTACGCATTATGACAAAATTATTTTCATTCATAAATTAAATTCAGATTCCAAGATAAAATCAAATAAAATAACAAATCGATGAAAGTTCGAAATATTCTCTCCTAACACTTAAGTTCTAGGCGCTTAGTAAGAATACTGATTGCGGTTACAATATATATGAAATTATATTGCAAATTAAGAATCTATGTTTTTGACTTCTTGACTTTCTCAAGTTCATATAATTATATATTTTTATAGTATTAGAGTATAAAGATTAAACCAACATAATAAAATCCGATATTACAATACATCTTTTATATACAATTCTGGATATAGTGTTAAAAGAAATAAGAGTTCTTCATTAAAATATAATAAAAACTTTTAACTACTTCGTATTACATTAAAATTAAATGATAACTTATTTCGCAAATATTAATATATTTTACTTTAATATATTCTTCACTAATATATTTCAAATTTTAATATAAATAAATATTACAAATAACACAAATTTTATATTAAAATACATTTGTTTTGTGAAAAAATACAGAAATTATCTGCACGACAATAAATTAGAATAATTTTAGAAAAAACGTTGAATTACCGAAGAATATTTATGTAGTAATTAAATATTTGTAAGTATTACATTCATTTCTAAACTAATACCAATAATATTACAAATAATATTAAAACAAGAAAATTATATATTGATAAAATAATTTTATTTAATAAAGGGTAAATTAACACAAATCTTCTATTATATTAATCATTATAAAGAGTTGAGGAATTTATGAATCATTACAAATAAAAGAATTCAAATACTTTGAATAAAAAATTAAAAATGATAAAACACGTATTAATATCCAAAAAATAAACTATTTATTAATTTTAAAGTATTATTAACTAATAATAATAAATATTTATAGAATTGAATAAATTTGTATTAAATTGACTTGTAAAAGATGAACTTTAAAATACATAATATTTTTATTGTTAATGTATTATTATAGTACTTTTTATTATGATTATTCTTTTCAATAACAAAAAATTTTAAATAAAAAGAAAAATACACGATGAAGGTTATTGAGCAAAGTATTGTTTAAAAATATTTAACGGGAAAAAAGAAAATAATGTATATTACTGAAAAATTCAAATACACACAAAGCGGTTAAATTTTAATTGTTTAAATTTTAAACCATTACTTTTACATTAATACATATATAATAAATTATCGTTATAGATACAAAGTATGGACTTAGTGTCTTCAAATATGTTTAAATATGTTATTTAAAAATCGATAGAAAATATTTTACATTCAAACTGTCATGTATATATATATATATATATATATATATATATATATATATATATATATATATATATATATATATAAATTTAATTCTTTGATATCAAAAAATATTTTTAAACAAATAGTTTTCATAAATTCATAAATTGTATGGAAGGTATTATAATAAATAAATAATACATTGATTTGTCGGTAATAAAATTTTGCTCGAATGTTTACGATTTCACTAACGGTAAAAAGGTGTCCCATTAAGTGTACGTAGCACTCCTTGTTTAGCATTAATTGAACGCATTTATTCAATTATAAATAGATTTTCATTGATATGTGCAGATTAATCTTATAGATTTTACGTAACAAAATATATATATATATATATATATATATTTATAGGAATAAAAACGTAAAAATTCACTTTTAATTTACAGTATCTATTAAATAATGTATAATGAATTAATAATATTAATAATATTAATAATAAATAAATAAATAAATAAATAAATAAATAATAACAGCAATAATACGAATGAGATATGTTTGAAAAATAATTTCAATACAAATGAGAATGAATTAGGGAAGGAAACAAAACATCTACGTTTCATCTTGATAATACACTTTTTCAATAAGTTTCAATGAAGAAAGGTGTCCCTTAATTCGAACTCTCATCTTTTTTGTCCGGCATTCAGCTAACCACGCTATCTATCTGCTTTCGAATGAAAATTGACAAGAGAGTAGGAGTGGGAGAGATGAAGAGTGTGATAATGGGTGAGAGGTGGAGATGGAATGACGGTTTTAGGGATTATAGGGGCGGGGGAGGGGTGTGCGTGTGATAGTGGGAGCGCATGGTTGAATTTCTCGATTCAAATTACCCAATTTCTTGAGCAATTAATGATCGTTGAGGTAAATTTACACTATAGCCGCGTTCGAGCATCATCCAGGTGGGATCTTCTTCTGCTTAGTGAGTTCAAGTAGCACAGGGAAGTGGATATCAGGGCAGTAGTCGCGATTCGTTGCTAACAGATCTAAATGTCGAGACCAAACCTCGGTATCGTAGCTCTCGACCTGCCGGGCAATGAAGCCCCGCTGCACCGCGGCTTCGGCGAATTCGCGGAAGGTTGTGCCCCGACGCGGCGCCATAACCAGGGCAACTCCGTCATCGGCCAGCCAGCCATTAATCGTATCAACAAGATCGAGTCTCGCCTCGTCGAAGAATAGACAGTCCGCGCAGAGTATAACCTCATACGAAGCCTCACCATTGAACTCCTGCTTTCGTGGATACACATACACATGAGTACACAGTCACTGTATTAATTAAGCATGCTAATAAGCGCAAGCACAGTCACAGATTATTCACAATTTTTCTTAATCTTATAATAATAGAATACTATGCCATCGGTATCTACTAATTAACTCGGTATCTAATTTTACTTTATGTCGTAATTAATTCGAATCATTGATGATTGAAAAACGAATGAGAGCCGATTACCAAATTTTCAAGAATTACATACAAACGTTAATAATGAATCGACAAAAGGTATTTCTATTAAAAGACTTGCGTAGGCAAAATACTAAGTAAACTAAAATTGTCATGCGATGAAGATTTCATATTAACCGGAATCAAATATAATGTGATAAAAAACTTTTTAAATTGTCTCATTAGCATTTAAATAAAAGATAGGTAATTATTCATATACCGATATTTCGATATCATTTTAATAATCATTTAGAATTTTTAAAATGGAATAATTTATACGCACTGTACTATGGATTATATGTGTACGCCTTTACACTATTATCATAAGTCACAGGAAGTCGAAAACGATTGCACAGAGAATTGGAATGTTTCCAAATTATTTAGAAATTAAGTATCATACCCATAATAAATACGTTAAGTTAACTACCAATAAACAGGATCTTAGATTTACTATTATATGCGCAAGGTCATTCCAAACACTTTTATAAGACTAGTATAGTGAGATTAAAGCCGAAAAATTAAATTATTATATGTTTTAGAAATAGGAAGGACATCGGTAAAGTGATCCGCAGTGAATACCGGATTTATTTATAATTAATCTTATTTGTATTTGACTTGATGTAATAAGGTATGAGAATGATATTTGAAGAGGAGAGAATTTAGAGTGTGAAATTAATAAATCTGCCAATTAAAATGCGCTATATGTATGGCTTATTGCCGTTTTTATAAAAATGTCATTGTCTCTCGTAACCAATGATCACGAATGTATATTCCTCTTCCATTATTCTAAATGCAAAATAAAATTAATTATTATATCACTTCCAATTTTCACCGTCCCTATTCTTCCCTCATCAATTTTCGGATAAAAAAAAATGGATCGCACTAGACTATCCATAACTAATCAATTTATTGCATAATAAGATTTTAATAATCGGATTAATGCATACTGGCGGCTGAAAGTGACAAGCGCAAGCATTTAATGAACTCACGAGCTTTCATGCAGAAATGAAATCATCACTCCATCGCACATAATACAAAACACACTGGTATGGAGGAAAATGATTAATACACTCCACAAAACTCAAATAATTGACACCAAACGCGAGCTGTCGGGGCTTACGAGCATACGACCAAGTCCGAATTAATTTGAAGGATAATCACTGCTCGTGCATTTCATTCACTCTTCTGTGACCCTTCAAGTATTTTGTTCTGATAATGAAGTTTGCTAAAATAAAGTGGATAAAATAATTATCATAGCTAAGATTTTTTTACTACTTTCTTGTAATGTAGTATAACATTTCAAGGCATTGGTAAGCAATAGTAACTTTTTAGTTTTCAAGTGAAATATTGAATTTACAATCTTTTACAAGGAGCTTTTAAAATTATTTTACAATTTTAATGTAATCAGATTTCATAAACTTCATTCGCTTTTTTTTTTTTTTTTTTTTTTTTTTTTTTTTTTTTTTTTTTTTTTTATATCAGATTAATAAAATTCTATAATTTAATTCTGACTATTCGTTAGTATAAAATGACAGCTTGAATAATAAATAACAATAAATAACAATAAATAACAATATACTTAAACTTTAAAATATGATGATCGTAATTGACAATTATGAATTCATTCAATGTATTGAGAGATTAGGCGAACAAATGTAATTGAAATATAGCAACATTACTCCAATGGAAGAAAGCTTTTAAGATTCAGTCAAAGTATAATTGAAGAATAAAAGTCATTTCACATATTATAAGCTGGAAAATAACGGAATATCGAATGTGAAAGAATACATTGTATGTTTCAACAGCAATTTCGGAATTATATAATGTGAGTGAAGAAAAATTTGTTCGAAATATACCTCATTACTTTTATCATAATCAAATAATCTATGAATTTCAATGGATCTATGAAAATTGAACACATTTCATTGCATAAAACTATATATGTACTTTTGCAAAATAATAATCTATATCAATTGTTAAATTAATATTGCTTTAATGCATAAGAGGCTGATATTTTTTTGTAAAGTTCACATCGTCTTTTATGGCGCGTATTAGTGAAATATTATTCAATTCGAAGCTTTAAAATTGTAATATTCGACAATTACTTCAAATAAAGATAGTTTTACAAGTTTATTTCAATACTGCACGATAATCTAAATTGCATGGAATGAAAAAAAGAAAAAAAAATGAAAGCCTAAGAAATGTCTGGCAAATGTCTAGCTTATTAATCGAGTCTATTCTGGTGAAAGTCTTACATATACATTTGGCAGCATACGCTATGCCAAAATTTCTCAATGAATATTACATAGAAAGTCTCATGAATTAATAAATTATAATGAAATATATACGTAATTAAGTATGCGTTAATTACTGGCGATTATGTTCGTATTAGTATTGAAATTGAATCAATTAACAAGGTATTAGTGTTGGCACTATACGGTGACCTTAAACGAGAGCTTCCTTAAGAAAAGAAAGAAAAAAGATGAAGAATAAAACGTAGCAATTACTTTGCAATCGACGAGATTCGTACGATTTGTACTCTCAAGCCAACCGACTCGGGAGACTGCACCTCTACTTATTTTGTTCAATTTTGTTCAATAACAACATGCCCGTGAGTGGACGAATGGTGTGGGAGAGGGTTGGGGATGGGGATGGGGATGGGGATGGGGAGGGGTAGGGGGGAAAGGGAAAGGGGTGATGAGTACACTACAGACCCGTTGCAGCCTCCCACTCCAAGCAGTAGTAGTAGGGTAAATATCCTCAATGGTGCATCGATTCTTAAGCGAATCATTGGAAATTAACGGATTTCGGCGCGCGAATTCGACACTCCGTTCCCCCTTCGCGGCACAACAGCTGGTGGAATAAGGGACTGGGGGTGCGTGTGCGGCTCTCGCGGTGCACGGACGTGCGCTCCGAGACGATGGCCACGGTGGGCTCTCGGAATCAAGCTCGCGCGCCGAGTCACGGACACGTAAGCCCCGCTACTACCCGGCCTAATCCAATCACCTGTAAGAGGAGGAGGCGATTAGCGCTGCAGGCCGCGGTGCTCGACTGTCGCAAGGCCTTGGCAGCCCTGGCCCACTGGACGACAGCGCACCTCGTCAGCCCAGCCATGCCGTTCCTCTCGACGATACACCTGACGTTCTCGACGCTCCTCGCGTTCCCGTCCGTCAATGTCACCGAGCTCGGCTCGCAATACTTGGCCGCCAGCACTCCGGCCAGGCAGCTCATACCCCCGCCAAGCTCCAGGACCTTACGTCTCCGGCAGATTTCCGGATTCTTCGTATTAACGATCATTGGGGCACAAAACACACAAGTCAGTCGTCGTGGCTTTCTCGTCAGCGGTGCATTTAGAACGCCGGCGATAAGCCCCCGCTCATTAAGTGCTTAATAAGTGTTACACTAAGTGCTCGTTAGACTCTTTAGCTCGATAATTAAATGGCTCACTCTCTCTCTCTCTCTCTCTCTCTCTCTCTCTCTCTCTCTCTCTTACACTCTCTCATATCTGTCATTTCAATGATAATTGGCATTTTTAAGGCACTCGAATGTCATGGACAGTTGTCGAGCAAGCTATCACGATCAATACACTCGTGCACGAGTGTAAATTTATGTCGCCGCTTAATTTTAGATCAACGACATGCTACGCTGCCTCGATTTGTTTAGCCCAAATGTGCCCCGACACGAGCACTATGCAATTATGTATTATGATATATCGCGAACTTGGCCTGTAAAGTCACCTCCCCCCCCCCTCCACCAATTTCATGTTAATATATTTTCGGTGCGTGCGCGTAGTAAAGTAAAAACTCAAGAATTACGTATACAAGTGCCAAATAATAAGAGTCTTATGTTAAGCCTCTTTAATCCGCTACTAAGTATGCACAATGATAAGAGCCTTATTTTATTAAGATTTTTAATCCTTTGCTTACATTTATTTACATTATACTTGATAATTGGATACGCGCTAAGCCTGTTATTGCAAAACAAAAGGTTTCGTATTTTACATGTTATTTTTACATTTACAAAAAATGAAACTGTATATTTAACTAATGTCTACGTCAAATTTAATTGAAAGATAAATACTAAACTAAGCTGAAAATAAGAAAGTACGCCTTCGCTTCTTTCTCGGAATACTGAAACTTTTCATCCTTCATCCCTCATAGAAAAAGTTTTAATATTTCAATAAAATAAGCCTTCGTTTTTCATAGATGTTATATTAATCAAAAAAAAAAAAAAAATAAATAAATAAATAAATAAACAAATAAATAAATAAATAATAATAAAAAAAAATAAACTTTTCATTTGAAAAATTATTTTATTTACAAAACAATCGTGACATTTATTAGAAAAAACTTTATAACAAAAATACCGTATAATGCATACTATATAATATACATATTCAATGTTTATTGTTAAAAGCTCGTAGCGATGTCGCTCCTACAAAATAAAGAATTAATTAAAATATTGTATTATTAATGCGATGATTATAAATGCGTTAAATCGAGTTAAATTGAACAAATAGTACCAACACAAATGTGCTAGTTTAAAAAAAAAAAAAAAAAAAAAAGGGCTACGCTCGAAACACATAATTGATAATGTTTATCATTATGATGATTGGCCAGCGAAATCTCGAAGTCTTTTAACAAAATCGAGACGATCACAGAACAAAGCACTCGAAATCTTTGAACGAGGCGTCTATTGCACCCCAATGAATACGCGAAAGACGGTGTCTACCGCTTCGTAAAAAAGCATCACGTTGGGCGATTTTAATGCTAAAAGCTCACCTTAAGTAGGTAATAAGCTAAGCATTCCTCGGACGGCCAAACGCATACGTTGCCAGTGTTGTTAAAGCCAATGAGCTCGTTGGCGGTGAAGCACTTGCTGATGCGTCGCACCAGCACCTCGTAAAGCTCTCCCTCGAGTAATCCAGTATACAGCCACCAGGTGCATTCGTCCTCGTTCTCGAGATGCACTTGGTGGAGGAGGTCGAAGGTGGTGAAGCGTCGCGCCGATATCTCCTCGTTCTTACCGAGAACTTCGTCCTCGAAGAAGTTCAGTGAGCGGGTGAGTGCGCGGGCCAGCAAACGCCAGCGCTTTTGGGCGACCTTACGCTCGCCGTCCTCGGAGCGCGGCGCCGCCGACGATTCGTACAGCAATTCGCTTGTCATATCTGTCTCAAAGATTATTCTTATGCTGAATACGAATTACGTTCTAACTATAGGCTTCGTCCGCTCAATGAAACATTTTTCCAACTGAATTTTCATTTTCAATACACCCGCTGCACCTTCAGGCGACTATATAAATTTATAAATTTACATTTGCGTCTATTCGTCTAATGGTGTGGCTCGAATCAAGCGTATTAAAATAATTACAAAGTAAAAATAACATGACAAATATAATAGCGTAGGTTTGATTTTTATACCCAACTCAGATATCGGGCATTCGAGTCTTGCATATACAACAGCTGCATCTATTTATTTTAGAATACTTTAAGAGGCCGATGTGTAACAATTAATAAAAAGTTACAACACCACGATTAGTTGCAATGACTATAAAATACTCATAGACAGTAGCAAGCAATACATTACACACTTTGCTGTGAGAATATTTTTATTTTTTTTTTTTTTTTTAAATTCTTTCGTTACAAATACCTTATGTTCCTGGTAAAAATAAACTCTAAATAATGCATAAATTGATCTCAACTTTTTGTTTATTTTCACATGCATTTATAAGTAACTTAACGAGATAAAATGAGATTCATGTAAAAGGAGAAGAAAAAAAGAGAGAGAAAAATATATGATTGTACTCTTCAGTTTTAACCGATAAATAAATTAAGTTTCTAAAAACAAAGGGAAATATATTGCTTTTGAAATAAAGTATTTGAAACGTTCAAATATAACGTATCGGACTTTGGCGACTTTAGAATTTAATTAATTTAGTTAAATTTCAATTTACTTATAAAATGAAATAGCCTTATAATATTTCTTCATAATAATTATTAGAAATATTTTATTTTATTTTCAATTAATAACCATAAAGAAAATAAAATTAATGAGTTTCTATTTAAATAATATAATAGATTGTCAATATATTCGTATTAAAAAAGAATATAATTAATTTTAATTATCTCTTTATCATTTATTATTTTCATTATTTTTATTTATATCCTACACCATACCGAGATAATTCATCGAAATCTTGACAACAGTACTTCGTGAACTTCTTATTAGCTGTACACTTTGATGAGGATTTTAACAAGAATTTTAAACATTGCCAAAAAATATAATTACATTAATATGTTTGAAATAAAAAAGGAAATAAATTAAATTTTGGCATTCAATATTATTTTGGAATGTATGTAGTCTATGTTAAAAAAGAATTTTTTTTTTTTTTTTCTTTTGTTTATATTAATTATCTTTAATCAAATTAATCAACTTTATATAATATAATTGATTAATATAAAATATAATATCTTAAATATTGTTTTTATTAGATTAATGCGAAAAAAGAAACATCTTTCGCAGTAATATAATGGAAAATTTGACGACTGCCTTTGTGATCAAAACAAAAAACTTTTTAACAAATTTATTATCCATAAATGAAATAATGTTTAAAGAATGAACTTAAATTAAAACATATTATACGCATTATATATGTTCGATCAGAAATCAAAAACTTACAGATGCAAAAGTATTTAAACCAAATATACACAAAACAAAGTTGCAGTAAAAAATGTGAATTTTTCTTTTTCGTCCATGTCAAAGTCATGCCGGTGTCAAAAATTTCGAGCTCGTAATACCTCGTTTAATTCTATAATGTATCACATGCACATTTTGTCATCGGGACAATACATTTAATTAAAATAATATTATAAATTCATTTAATAAAATAAATTTAAATTATTTTATTGGGAAACATTTACAATTACTTTATTAATAAATAAGAAATGATTGTATGTGTTACTAAATACTGTGCATTAAATATGAAATTTAAGCTTTAAAAATCATGTAGATTATTGAATTAAAATTTATTTTTGGAATTCGTGAAAACAAAAAGTAACTATAAATAAAAGTGTCAGATCATTTAAATTCTATCGATAATTCAATTAATCACAACCAGCAATTTCTAATAATTATTAGTCAATTATTATATGTTTATTAATTATATCAGTTAATAATTAATATGATTTTATTTAATTAATATTTTAATCAACTATTATTACAATGATCCATCGTCGAATTAAACGAGCCTATTAAATTGAAAGTTTTTCCTTTTTTTACAGATATTAAATAATTCGATAAAGCGATGAAAAGCAAAGTAAAGCATTTAGATCGCTATAATTTTTATCACTATTACATTTTACACGTATTAATAATATTCATTTATTATTATCTATTTACATCATTTATATTTATATTACTATATATTTATAATTCGTTTTAAAATCGGTAAAAACATAACGCTTGAAACAATGTTTAATTATTAAAATGTTATCGTATAACGTTTATTTGTATTAACAATAATAGCTTTAATTAATTAAATTATTTTAAGTGTAATAAACTTAATGATTTTTCGTTATTAATTATTCTTGTAATATAAAATTAAAAGGTAAGAAATTTAAATTTGTTGTGAAATTTATTTGTATATCTCAAAATTAACGATGAAATATCAATATCGAATATGTATTTTTAAGCAAAGGATCGTTAAAATATATGTAATTACCATAATGTTTATATATACATATATATATATATTTTTTTTTTTTAATTGTCAGTTAATGGAAGATATAAAAAGTTCTAAAAGTGAATCTATAAAAGTTAAATATTTAAATATTTAAGCTATATTGCATAGATGCTTAGTCGCATTCTCAAATATATTACATTTTCATGTTTACCAATTATTTACTTAAAATTTTAAGCCGACATATTGGTAGATCGATAGAAATGGCGCGTAAACGAGCATGGAAACGTCAATGATAAGGTCTAAATAAAGGCTATTTTAGTTTATTAATTATTATTCATTGCCAAATAAATGAACGACAATTATAGAAGTTTCGTTATATTTAATGTTTAAACGTAATAAGAGTTGTAAATTGTTGCTGGTGCACGATACAAATTGCCATTTATCTAAAGTGATAAACAGTAATTACAATTACTGAAGTGGATTTGCAAGACTGACTTTATTATGAGTAATATTAATATCAAACCAATATGAAAAAATTATATTGCTTGACTCGAGCCTAATAAAGATAACCGAAGATTACATTAATAGCGTTATTGTCTAGCCGCGAGTTACACAAAAATACTTGGGAAAATGTTTCTCTCGCAAATAATAATGCAAGCGAAGTAATTAATCTTTTAATTACTTTGCGCATAAACTGATCGAATAAGAGTAAAATTGCGTCCTTACATACCTGGTTGCCAGGTACACTCTGCCAAGAAACAATGCCCGACTACATAAACGAATATAACCGGAGAGTGGCACTTACCGCTGAACACGACGACGGCTCCCCTCACCGCAACACTTCGACGCTCATTCACTCGGTGAGTAGAGCGACGATGCTGCAAGGTTGACCCGAAATACCGAGAACAATATTAAAAGGCTCGGATCCCGGGACCCCCGGCGCGATCGGCAGCCCTGAGATAGCGAGAGGCTCTCGGCGAGTCGCAGCCGCCGCATTGCCGCGCGGTCGTCGAGGGCCGCGCTCGCGGCGACGATTGAACGACGAGGATGCGAGAGAGAGCCCCGCGCCCAGCTGCGCCGTGCATCTCCCACGGGAGTCGGGAAGCGCGCGACTGCCAGCGATCGCCGATGTGTTAAATGTCACGTGTCGGCGGCGAGCCAACAAACCTGGCCGCGCGCTTGCGCCCCCGCCGACGCGGAAGCCAGTAGTCGCGCTTGGCGGCGGTGGGGCCGAGCATTTTTGCCCTCGTCGACGATCCGCCTCGGCACTTAAAGCTCCTCCTCGGGACATCGCCGCCAGCGCGGACTCCCCGACCCCCCATTGTTCCATAGGGCTTGGACATAAGTCGCTGGAACAACAAGCGGGCTATCCAACTATTTTTATAAGAACGTGTGGGAACGGCGACGGCTTATTCGAGAAGGTATTAAAATAAACTGCTTAGTGCCAGGAGACCGCCGCTATAAGTCCCGAGAACATTTCGAAAGCCAGCACCGCTCGTCCCTCACTCCCACTCCCTCAAACACACGCGCGCGCGCGCAAACACGCGCACACACACGCACACTCGCACACTCGCTCAATCACTCACTCACTCTCTCACTATCTCACTATCTCGCTATTTCGCTATCTCGCTATCTCGCTATCTCGCTATCTCACTATCTCACTATCTCACTCTCTTATCCTCGATGTGTATTGGGTTTGCTCAACTGCGGCATCTAACACGTTATTATCATCTAACTCTCCATTATAACGAATACTGGATAATGTGCAGCCTCGTCCACTTCTAATGTTTCTTTCACATTTACTCATACAGCAACGCCAGCTATTTGAACATCCCTTTTCTTTGCTCCGTATTATTACAAATGGCCAAAATTATTATTCCATTCGGTCGAAAAACTCGAAAGAAAAACTCAAAACTCAGGCCTTTATATCATGGGAATGACGCAAAATGCATTTTACATATGGATCTTACGATGAGAAGAAGGAAAAATTAAAGAAAAAAATACTACTTCATTAGAAAGAAAACAATATATCTGCCGATGTTTTGGATTTTTTATGGTACATTCGATTCTACTCTAAGAGCTTAATATAAAAAAAAAAAAACGCAAACAGACCTTCAATCATATCGAGCTGCAATCGATGAAACTGCATTGAATAAAGTTGCAAATATGTATTTTAATTGCCAATTTTCGTTAATATGCTTTAAAAACAATACAGTTGTTACAGCAGATCGAGAAATACTGCCAAAATTTCATTGAATCGTAAAGAGCAAGGAATATATGAATTAAAAAGATTTAAAAAGTAGAAAAAAGTTTTTCAAGAAACCTTTGAACTTTTCTTTAAAATTTTTATGAATAAATACAATTTTAAAATATTAACTTACAAATATAATAATTGAATAATTGAAATATATTTTAAAAATAGATCACCTGTCTTTTATTACTAAGTCATATTTGGTAAAATACAAATTAAGCTCATATAAATAAAAATTAATTTTCTTTTTCAAAATTATCACTAATTTGTGTGTGTGTGTGTGTGTGTGTGTGTGAATCTGTCACTTTAAGACTTATACTTTTATATTTAATTGCTATACACCCATTTTATATAGCTTTTAAAATTAAAGCTCAATATTTTAAATTCCGTATATTTATGCTATTTAAACTTCTTTAATTAACTTGCTATTAAATGTAAATTTTTTAAAACTTTATCATATTTTAATCCTAAAAAGTCACATCCATCTCCATATTATAAAATAAGTGCATTTCAGCATAAAGAACTAATTATACGCAAAAAATGAATTCAAATGTATCAATTCAATTTCAATCAATCAAATCAATACAAATTCAAAGAGTCATCTAATTACTTATGATAATAACAATTTTATTATGCAGACCTTAGCGATTGGTTGTGTTATATGAAATTATATATATATATATATATATATATATATGTAAAGTTTCATTGGAAACTTATTTATGAAATTATAAAATAACTTTCGCATTTATGTACATTTGTATAATTAAAATTTATATACAATTTATAAGCGTACATTAGTAAACGTAAATATTTTTCAATCAAATACTAATCTATTTTCTTTTCTATTATAAAAAAAAAAAAAAAAAAGAAATAATTTTTTAGAAAGCTATATTTCACATAAATCTCATTCTTCAATATAATGATCAAAACAGCAAAATTAGCTTATGATTTATTAAAGTTTTTTAATGCGATAACAAAACAACAATAGCTGAAAGTATATAAAACTTAAGTGCTTTTATATGCATTTGGCTATATCAAGAATCGGGAGTGTGTCGTTATTATGTCATTCCAAATGTAACTTTTCGTGTATTTTCGTTTAAGCTATGCCCGTACATAAGTAGTTTAAAATATATTTTGCTTAGAAGATAATACTAGATACTTTAAAAAATGCTTATTTTTACTCAATATTTGAATTTTACCATTTGCATTAACTTTCATTCTATGATAATATAAATTTTTAAATAATAGATTAAATAAAATTACAAAATTAGTATAAAATTTATAATAAATTGAAATTAATTTGCTTCAATCAACTAATTTAATTAATTTAATAAGCAATTGAGACAATTAATTAATTAAAGTTTGTAATAAATTTAAAAAAAAAATGAAAATATTTTTTTAACATATGATTTGAATGTATAAATGTTATTCATGGTTATGATTTGACAATTTTTACATTTCATATAAATTTCGTTTTATCTAAAAAATTAATTTTTATTATACCATAAATAAAAATGTATAATATATTGTTAAAAAAAGTGCGAAAAGCCAAAAAAGAGACATAAAGTAGAATTTCTCTTATATATTATTATCTAATTTTATTGAAAAGTGCATTTATAAATTATTATTAAATGCCTGTTGACATTATCAACTTTATTATGAGACAGTTTACATAAATTTTGAAAAATTATATGAATAACTTGATTATATAACAAATGATATTTTATAAACATGTTTAAAAAATTAATAGATATTATAAATCTTATGATTACTTAAATATATAATAAGATTTCTAATAGAAATAAAATTGCTTTGTTTGATTAAAGGCAGACAGAAATTATTTCTTTACTTTTATAATTTTTATTTAATTCAAAACCTTTTAAACGAAATAAATATATAAGATAACCAACAATTATAATGTACATATAATGCATATGTATGTTGAAATTTAATTTTTGTAATTTTTTCAATTTAACGGATATGATAATTTACGGACTAACTATTCGAATCTATCATCTAAATTAAAATTTTAATCATTATAATATTTAAAACTATAACCAATAAATCGACAGTATTAGTAAAGAAAAAAAAAAGTATTCCTTTTTAATTACTTATGAAACACATAACTGATATTGCATAAAATAATAAATAGTGTCAGATGGACGATGCCTGTACTGTATGGAACATATATACGAATAATGTTTTTTTATAAAATTACTCGTTATAATACATTTAATCGATAAGCTAATGAAAAGCATATTCTGCTACAAATAAGCGTTTAATACGACATTCAATTATATTATAAAACTTACAATTTTTACGAAATAATGCCAGTACAGAATACTTGTAAAATACGATTATAAAATTTAATAATAAAATACAAGCTGAATTCAGAAGATTTTCAAATTATTGAAATGATAGTCGAAGCAAATCACAGTAATAGTCACAACTCGTTACGATGAACATAAATGTTTTTACGCCAAGAGGATCTACACATCATTACCTATCTATTTTTCAACCTTCTATATACTCAGAAAATAGTATAAAAAGTCACTTAAAATGTTCAATTCCATAATGAAACAAAGTTAAAAATAAAAGACTTAAATAGCTATACAGCAGCACACTTTCTTTCGAATGAAGCTCAACGAAATGATGTATTATTACTACATATACCTTTTCCAAACTAAATCCATAGAATAAATTAAAATAATAATGCAAAGGGTATAAATTGTAATGCACGAGAGTTCTATATCATACAACAATCACGAGATCACACTAATGAAAATTAATAAAAAAAAAAAAAAAATTGATTTATATAATGATGATTTTTATTTATGTAATAATGACATTTATCTTGCAGAGAAAATCGATTACATTTGTAAAAATAAAATTAGTCGGTCATCACTTCGTCTTCTACAATGTTTGAAAATCAGTGTTATGAAAATATGGAAACATAAATCGCAAAAGATGCAAAAATACTAATTCCTCATGCTTATGAATTATTCCATACATCATTAAGATTCAATTAATCAATCTTTTTTTAATTTTTTTTTTTTTTTTTTCAACGCAATGGCAATTATTTATTACAGCACGAAATTCATATTTTTCTGTTTCCGCAAAACCGCTGTCACAACTTTCGAATGCCATAAAAATTTACTAACCAACTCATGCACATCACAATTTCATATAATAATACCCAAATAAGATAAGCAATAAATTGAAAGTCAAACTGCTAGAGCCAATTCATGTTATTGGCTTATCCAATCACTCTTACATACCATAAATAATTTAATGTGTCAATTTAAACGAGAAAACTATACGCGATAAATATATGTTTATATATAACTTTTAAACGTTTTCAAAATATTGGAAGTTGAAAAATTATGAGTAATGACAATAATAACTGTAAATCTACCGTTCTAAGCTATAATGAACTAAATAAATAATTTTCACGACTTTTTCATTGAATATAATAGATAGAATTTATTTCAAAAATAAATGTAGAAAAAAAATATGGAATATAAATAAGATTTGATATATTGAAGTTTAAAGCTAACAAATCTTAAGACCAATCAAGAATTAAACACTAGGGGTAGAAAACTTACTGGTTAAAATAGACTTATTAAATATATAATTATGTCAATTTGAAACAATAAAATCATGTTTAAATGATTTATTTAAGTATTTTATTTAAGTAAATAAATAGCTAAAAATAAAATTGAGGATAAGTACAATAAATGTTAGTATCAAAATAAAAATTATAGTTATAAAAATAAAAAACGGTATTATTTGTATTTTTATTAAAATTAAAAATAATGTAAATAAAATCTAAAATTCTTAGAAATCATTCTAGAGTGAAAATTTAGATATCTTATGTATAATAAAACAAACATACAAACGATAGATATTATAATTAAACTTATGTAAATTGATAATATTTAAATTGGATTTCCAAAAGGACTCTCAAATTAAATGAATTTATTAAATGAATAAGCATCTAGAGAGTTTACAATCTAATTCTATATTTACAGAAAACTAACAGTTGTTAGATATAAATAGCAATATGCTTAAAAAATATATATAATAATAATAATAATAACCCGTTTGAATAAAATTAATCTGATCTTTCATTTAACACAGAAAGTCTTCGTAGTTGGTTATCCTCGTAGCTTAAATACTATTGTAATATTAATGACATAATTCTATAAAAATCTCATTTCTCTATGTTCCTTTCTCTCTGTGACAAAAGAAAAATGATCGTTAGATTTTGGCATAAGAACAACATTTTCCTTAGTAGAGAATTACGAACACGAGTATGACTTTAAAATATTAATTTTAATATTGTTTATGTTAGGTCTATCGACTTGAAATTAAAAAATTGTGTTGACTCACCAATGTTATTACTAATGTACAATAAGTCATTGATGGTAAGTATAAATTTATTTTTTGTAAAACTTTGTCCGAACACATGTTTTTTATTGTCTTATTATTGTAATTGAAACTCTAAATTAATATACTCTTAACTGGTATATTATTTTTATTGATTTTTGTCAACGCAGGATGAATTCCCAAATTTAACAATCTGACTTTGATGCATTGATAAAACAATGTTTGTTATTTATTAATACAATTGCTAAATATAATTATAAAAATAAGAGACGCTATTATTGGTTAAAATTTTCATCTCAATGATATAAAACTTATGTGTACAAATATGTTTTATTTCATTCTTTTGATACGTATCTTACACTTTTAATTTATTTAATTTATTTAATTTAATTTAATTTACAATTTTAATTCATAATATCGAAGCAAACAAAATAAAATAGAAAACATAAATCAAGTAATATTACTTGAAATAATAAATAAGAACATAAGTTATTAGTCATTTTTAATAAAATTATTCTTGTTTTGAAACAAAGTCACAAAAAAATATTATTGACAAAATATTATTCTTTCTATAAATTATATGTTTATAATTTATGTTTATATACAAATACATAATAGAGGATTTAAAATAACTAAAAGTAAATCTACATTTGATGATCTTATTTCTTAGATAATTGTTTCTATACTGTAATTTACATTCAAGAATGTAAAATGAAATTTAGAAAACTGCGATAATCAAATTTAAAAATTAATATTTGTCTTATATATATGTTTTACATATTATTTATTAAATAATATATAATAATATATATACATATATATTTCATTAATTACTACATGATTAATTTATGAATGTATATAATGTATAAATTATTTATAAAAATATAATTTTATACAATTTTATACAATTTTACACACAATACAGAGTATTTTTTCTGCTATATTCAAAGAAAATATTAAATATAAAAAATATTTAAGTATAATTTTATATTTTTCAGTCTTGCGTTTTCAAATCCTCAAATTGCAGCGAAATGAATAAACTTTGTTACAAGAGTTTTATAAAAATATAATACTACTAACATTGTAATTTCACAAACATTAAAAAGTACAATATTTTTTATAAACATTGTCTACTAACATATTTGGTAATCGTTTCTATTAGAGGAAAAAGATTTTAACTCAATTTATGTTTTATAAAAAACATCCTTTGTATTTCATACTCTTCATATTTAATAAAACATGGGGCTAATAATTTGGATAATATAATTCTGTATCATATTACATTCAAATTAAAATAGACAAGAGAATGTATGTCAAAGAAAATATTAAAAAGTACAATTTATCTTACTAGCTTTTATTTCAATTTTATCTATCGCTAACTCCATATGACATTGAATCAAAGTAAACTATCAGCATACAATATCCACTTATGCAATAAATTTATAAATTAGATGATATCGTAAATTTCTAAATAATTATTAAAATATAATAAATTTATTTATTAAATAAAGCTAGAAATTGTTCAAAATTTGAAGACAAAATATTTTCACTAATCATCTACTAATAAAACAATAATCAACATATAGAGTTCAAAACTCTCAACAGAATTTAATTATAATATAAATTGACACTGACATAAACCGGTAAAAATTGAAAATTTAGTATTTGAAAGAGTAGTGACAATATGCATACTTGTTATTAATATGAAATATATTCAATAACAAAGTTCTATAACTTTGTTACTTTAAAGTTTGAATTAAAATCATAGCTTTGTATATACACATTTATGTACTATAAATTAACCTATAAGAAAATTAATATATATTTTAAAATAATAAAATAATTTAACATATTAATAGATAAAAACAAATTGTAAACATGAAATTTTTACAGGAAACTAAGTTTCACAAGGATTTCAAATGCTTGAAGAGTTTTTCCGTATTAATATATTGATATTGCAATTATAGGTTATAAATTGTTTTGAAAATTTCTTAATAATTTAATATGTATTATGGTATTATATATTCAATAGTTAAGAAATCAGTGGAATGAATGTAGTATAGAATATAAAACTATTATTATCGATCATCATTTATATATTATTTCATTAGCTAATAAAAAAAAAAATTAATATATCCAAATTTGTAAGATATTTATAGATATTATACACAATATAATCTTAGCTATATAATATTATTATTTCTAAATTATTTATACTCTAAGAAAACATACAAATTAAATATAATTTTTACAATAAAAGTTCTTTTTATTGTAAACATAGATATTTCCTTGGTAAATAAGAAAAGTATATATAAATTTGCTATGATTAATATGTATGCATTGTGGCTATTAATTAAAAATATATTTGATAATTTAGTTAAATTTATTTTATTTAATTGCCATTAGAGGATGTATTATAATGTACTTACATATTTCACTACTTTGTTGACGGATAATTGAATCTGTTATATTGAAGAGTCGATGTATTGCTATTTTATTTGCATAATGATGGCAGAAAACATAACATTATCCAGATTTCATTGAAACTATTAATTATTTTGCTTGGCAAGTTTCAGTACTGCGTAACACTAAAAATAAAATTAATTTCTTTAATAAAACAATAATAATCATAATAATAATAATAATAGTAATGGTAATAATAATAAGTGGCTCGAATGAAAAATAAAACAATTGTTACATAATCTAAAATATATTTACATTTAATAATACAAACTATTGATGCGATTTAATATTCAAACTATTAATATCTTATTTGTAATTAGGAATTGAAAGCGGAACCATATACTACTTAACAACAGAATGGTTATTTCGTGTTGAATTATTGATTCTGCGCAATAATAATTTGAAATTCGTCAGCTGTCGTACTCACGCGAATCGTCAATCTAACGCAATGAAATCAACATAAACATTATGGAAATGGAGAAATAAATGTGGAATAAAATTTTGATAAAATTAATAATACATAAATTATAAAATGTAAATAATTTTTTTGTGTAGCGTTTTATTTTTTGAAATTATTCAAGTTAATGCTTAGTGAAATAAATAGTATAGTTCTCGGCTTAATTCTCTCAATTACATGTTTTATTGAAATTGGCGCGCATGTGACAACTGACAACGTGATCTGTTTGTACGAAAAATCGAGTATCAGGGCAAAAATAAATAGTTACATCCACTTTCAAAGACCAATTCCAGATTGCCCTGCCCAATTCTGACTAAGCACAAAAAAATTTCAGTTGCCGCTCCAACATGGTGATGATTGGGGTAAAAGTTTTGAAATTTGCAATATAGTTAAAGCCGGTATTTTTTAATTCATAACAAAGTACAGTATTTATTTGGATATCAATCAGATTATTTAACGAAATGCTGTTTTTTACTGTTATTAAATACTCAATTGCAATATAATGATATTATATATTTCAAGTTGTATGCACAATTATTAACAATAAGCATATTTCAACGGTACTTTTTTATTTATTTAGTTATTTTTTTTTTTTTTTTTTTTTTTTTTTTTGTTTTTGTTTTTGTTTTTTAACAAAGAATAATATATCATACAATTATTTCAAATATACAATTGAGAATTGTAAATTGTTTATAATATTAATTGAAGAATAAAATATTGTACAAAGTAGACACGCATTTCAACTATTACTTATTAAACCATCGAAGAAAAATTAATTATTTCCGTGAGTTTGTTTTGAACTTTTGAAACAAAGTATCGAGAATGAAGAAAAAAGGTGTTTGTAAATGTTTGTAGCATTTAGCATAGTTGTGATTAAATTCAGATTATGCAAATATAACGAGCTTAAACATTTTTTTGTTTGACTTACAACGATAAAAAGATTCCTTTCTTATTCAAGTGACAAAAGATTTTAAAGGCCAATATTTCAATGTAAGTTTTAAATTAAATTTTTGAACTATTAGAACAATTTCAAATGAAATTTCTCATTACGAGAAGAAATTAAGTTTTACTTGTAAATTAATTTTTTTAACTACAGGATTTAAGCATAATAAGACACTTATTAATTAGGGAAAGCTTATAAATCATGAGTAAACTTCGTTTGGGATCTGATTATATCCCATTAGTGGAAGAGGAAATCAGCAGGTTTCGTGTAATACTTTCAGTCTCAAAAATTGCATGGTTTACCGTGTGTCTACCCTTTTTTAGCTTTATATTTTGTATTTTGTGGTCTATACTTTATAATTTTGAACATGCCACTGAAACACATTGTAAAGTATATAACTTCCTGCCATCCGTTTCAGCTGCGATTGGCCATTATAGGCCTCAAAAAAATGTCTGGGAGATAGCCATTGCTACTCAAGCTATAATTAGAACCTTAGTGCTATATATGTATTATCGATATTATAAAGAGACTGTTTATAAATGGGCAAGGAACATGACCAATTTTGCCCTTCTTAGTTATTTTTCAGAAAACATAGCATTAGTTACTTTGAGCTTTTGGTCTTCCAATGAAAATTATGGTAAATAGAATCGGTAGTGTAATATGTTTATTTAATGTACATAATATATTAAAAATATTTTAATTTTTTGCAGTGTTACATAAGATATCATTTATAACTTTTTTATTAATGTCTTTAATGTACATGGTTATCTCATATATTATTGCCAAAAATTGTCGCAATACTACCAAAGACATTCATAATAGTACATCAATCAAATGGAAATTCAATTCAATGGTTTTAAATATAAGCGCTGTAATGTTAGCTTGTTACTTTTTTTATCGACACAATAAATACTGCGAACCGTTTGGTGAGGCACATAGTAACTTAATTCCATTAATATATCAATATTATAATTAAATTAAAAGAATTACTAATATAATTTTATATTTACAGTTTATTCGATGTTTGCTTTAGCCGAGTATATTGTAGTTATTACAAATATGGCATTTCATGTTACAGCGGCATATGATTTTGCAGGCTGGAAAATATTAATATCCACAAATGGATTAAAAATTATTTAATACACGAGACGTTTAAAAAGATTGTTTTTTTAACGTTTAATATTGTAAATATTAAACTACTAAGAGATTTGTACATAATCGATTAATCTTTAATATATAATAAAATGTTGCAAGTTGTTTTAAGCATTGTTATGAATAATTTTATTTTTTACTTTTATTGATAACATAAAAATTTAAAGAATCTTTATAAGTATGTTATTTAAATTTTGTAATAATATTAGTGGTGTCGGAGTGTTTTGTTAACAAAAATAGTATTATAGACCAAATGATGTTTAACTTCATAATTTATTTTAATTTATAATCTCTTTAATATCTTCAACGTGACTGAAAATATCTTATCATATTGATAAAAGCTGGATTAAAGTTTAAAATCTTTTTCTAACTTATCTGAAATAAATTTAGCGATAGCCAGACTACTTGTAGCTCCTGGCGAGGGAATATTTCGACAATGGATAACTCTTTTATTTAAACCAGTATCAAATAAAAAATCGTCTATAAGATCACCATTATTGTCAAGTGCTTGTGCTCTTACGCCTGCAGGACCTCTGAAACAGGAATTTTCAATAAATTCTTCATTGCAAATTTTTTACAACTTTAAAAATACCTTATTACACATACCTTACTACATCACGAAATTGGATTTCTGGTACAAATCTTTGAGATTCTTTAATAGACAATACATAAAAAATGGATTTAATCACTTCGTATATTCCGGAAGCAATATGTTTAAAACATAATTTATAAAGACCCGAGAAATTAGCTAATTCTGCACAATCTTTAATGTTTATATTCTTCCAATGATATCCTTCTTTCGCAAATGCTACAACGGCATTTGGACCAATCCATGTATCTCCATTTAATTTTGGTGTAAAATGAACACCCAGAAATGGAAATTTCGGATTAGGCACTGGATATATATTTGTTGATATGAAATTTTTCTTATCTTCTTTAATTAAAAGATATTCACCACGAATGGGTACAATACGTGTACTCAAGTCACAACCTGTTATAGCTGCTAATCGATCCGAATGCAAACCTGCACACGTTAAAATGTATTTGGTATTGAGGTACTGTAATAAAAAAAGCGAAATTAAACAGATGATTTGCAAAAACAATCAATGGATATTTCATATATTGTACAATTTGGGAAAAAGCGCGTACAATTCTCTACTAAAATACAATACAATTTTACGTTAATATTTACGATGAGTGATTTGTTTATAATGGGAACTACGCGCTTAAGATAATTATTTTGATTCAAAAACTATTTAATTTGATATTTGCCTACTTTGTTTGTCGAATATAAAGATATAAACGGTGAGTTAGTTTCCCCCTTACATTTGACGCATTCAGCGATACCGGAAACTTCAAAATTTAAAAATATATCACCCCCCATTTTTTTTAAATCTTCGGCAAAATGCTGACATACTACTGCCCAATCGACTATTCCAGTCCAAGGAGACCATATTGCCTTTACACCCTATAAATAATTATTAATTAATAAATAATATGTTGAATATGATATAAAAAAAAAAAAAAAAAAAAAAAAAAAATATTTGTCAGTTCTTAATTTACTGTGCACTTTGGTTCATGATTTTTAATACAGTTTTTGTCAATAAGTTCGATGTCAGGACATTTATTTTTTAATCCTCTTTCATACAGTTCATTTAAATAGGTAATTTCAGAATCGTTGCTCGCCACTATAAGCTTTCCTACTTGCTTGAATGGAATATTTTTCTCTTTAATATAATCATATGATAATTTTAGACCTTCTACACACAATTTTGACTAAAATTATAAATATAAATTATAAAAAGAAGTACAATTTACATTAACTATTAATATTTTCATCGGACTAACTTTAAGACTCTCAGGTTTATAATAAATGCCTGCGTGAATAACTCCACTATTATGACCAGTTTGGTGTTTTGCGAGACCATCCTCTTTTTCCACAATTGCTATTCGCATCTGAGGATGCCTGATTTTCATTTCCCGGGCAGTAGCGCATCCAATAATGCCACCACCAACCACAACTAAATCATAGCCTTTGCACGAGTCTGTGCTAAAAAATATTGAACTCCATATTTAAAAGATTAACAGATAACATTATTATTAATATTATTATTGGGTCTAAACTTAAAGGGAATGGCGATGCTATTAAATGATTTTTACTACAAGCTCTTTTAATTTCATAAAATGCTAAATCTAAGCCAATATTTTATATAAAAAGAGTTGGCCTGGATTGTATGTTATAAATCGAGTTACTTAAGCTTATCTGCTTCTCGATATCGACTTCATAATCTTCATAAACTGTGATGGTATAAAGTTTAAAAAAAAACTATCTGAAAATAAGTTAATGCAATACCTTATCAAGATATAAAAAGTTACGAAAAGTTTGCCGAAAAACTTGTAAATAAATATATAAAGTACTTATATATATATATATATATATATATATATATTGAAAGGTATATTATCGATATTATATTATTAAAAAACTTGCAGATAAGCAATTGATCAGTATATGACGCAACAATGCTATCACCGCTCGAAAGACAAAATTTTTTTAATAATTTATCAAAAACAACGTTAAATCGATTACTTCAATTTATAGAAATATTAAATATAAAAATTATTTTAATAGATATTTGCAAGGCTTCATTTAAAATATTACCATGAAAATTAAACAAATCACTACGTTTAATGATAATAACGATGATTTTTTGCAAGTAATGAAATTTCTAAATTTAAAAATTAATCAAATAGCTGAAAATTGCTGAGATAAGCATTATATATACAACACATTCTATCGCTGAGCAAAAATAAAACAAGCGAAGTGTAAATTACAACGCTCAAAGAGAATTCGGATAATTATTTAAAATATTTAAAATATTTACAATATAGTAATGTTTAGCATGTAATTTATTTTTTATATTTTATTTTTTAACATTTGCTAATAAAAATTTATTGTTACAACACGTCAGTTGAACACACCTAAGTTCGCCTATATCCAAACTTTTTTAGAGCTATCACTTTTTTTAACAAATGCTATAGTAAATTATAATATTTATTTATGAAGTTTTCAATGTATATTATACACATGTATATATTAATATGAAAATATTATAAATATTTCATTTTATTACCACTACTGGTTTCCCCCTACCCCTACATAAAAATATAATAATAATAATGATTCATTACAATATAAATAAATAATAATAATAATAGTAATAATAATAATAATAATAATAATAATAATAATAATAATATTAAATAAAAAATAATAAATAATAACAATAATAATAATAATATTATCGTGTACCTTAATAAAGATTTATTCTGATATATATTTATATACTTCAGTATTCTTTTAATTACTATTTTCTGTGTTATGAAAGCCATTACAAAAATGTCGAATTTGTTAGTCTCTTAACTGGAACAAATAAAATTAATTTTTACAAGTGTAAATTAGCTAATTATAGATAAATTAATATTTTATTATGTTAAACTGTTCTGGATATTGAATTTTTTTTTAATGACAAAAAATCATGTATTTGTATTATTTTCAATTTTTTATTAATCCTGATTTAATATTCGTATATAAATATTTAATGTTTATTTAATCAATTAATTAAGTTTACATGCAATAATAAATAACCAAAAATATTAATGTTATAGAAACCGAAATTGTTAACAGAAGAAATGACTAAAAGAGATGTAAATTCTGTTTTGTCTTTACTTGGAAAAAAAAAAAAAAAAATTTTATATATATACTTGTAAATTGAATAATAAAAAATTGAATGTGTAACGACAGTTGAAAAAATTATTATTTTTTTAGCTGACCAATCAAGCTTAATAATGTAAACTGATATCATTTTTTTAACCCTTCAAATAAAAGTAAGAATAGTTAAAAAAAAAAAAAAAACTTGTTTAAGAGTCTTATTTTTTAAAGAATATACAATAAAGTTCAGGGAAAATGTTAATGCAGAATACAAAAATAGATATTATCTATTTTACCATTAAAATTAACCACTTTAAAATAAACAATTCGAAGATCTGACATAAATATATGGATTTATGTGTCAGACGATATAAAAAAATTTGTTATTTTATTTTTATGAAAAATAGATTTTGTAAATTGTTGCCTATATAATACTGTAATATTTTAAAGCCCATTGGTTTCATATAATCTTTTATTTACTTTGCATTGACGCACAAATGTAAATATGAATTTTTAAATAAAATTTGTAATAATTAACTTTGTTCGTGACATTCTTGATGAAGAGCAATATGCGGATGTCTTCATATCCTTATTCATTCATTGTCCTTAGTCATCAAAAGCATTTACTCGATCAAGATCAAGGCTTATGAAAGCTCGTAATATTAAAAGACAAATACACTGCCGCTATGCGGAAAATCTATGAAGTGCCAACTATAAGCCATTTATGACACAATGAGTCTTATGAGCGCATCTCCCACTTCTATTATTAACCTTCCCTACATAAAAACGTATTTGAGTAGGTGTAAGATCGAGCGGTGTACCAACAATATAAGGTGAAGTAAGAGTTTCCAGCTGAATTAATGGATCATAAAGTCATTATTAATTTATATAACATAGTTGCTTGTGGCGGCGTTTCATAATTTATTTACATGCAATGATGAATGTATAAAAAGTCGTATCCACGAGATGAATATGGCATTTCTATGCTATGATTTATCGAAATCGATAAATTGTCTTAAAAAAAAAAAAAAAAAAAAAAAAAAAAAAAAACACAAAAACTTTTCTTTCTCCCTAATATTTTATTATTATCTAAAGAATTTAACAAACCCATTGGTAATAAATAAATTATTTCGCGTTAATCCACGATGCACTGAACTTGTAAATCGGTGAACAAACTATGAAGATTATATCTGAATCAAAAGTGCATTAGGGTCTTTTAATAAGAGGCTTGCATATATATATATATATATATATATATATATTATTATTTTTAATGGTGGGACGAGGTGGATGGGGTAATAATACATTTTTGACAATGACTATTGGAAGAACGTTGTTTCGTCGACATGGATACCGCCGATGTGCATTTCTTTCTAAAATTCGCATGTCCAATTTAAAATACTCGAGCACACAGCTCTAATTTGTTACAATACAAATGGCACTCAATATTAACGATCGTAGTACGCTAATTAATTAAAATTTTCATTTATATCACAATTTTTTTTGTTCTAAATGTGAATATTAATTAAAAATTCATTTTAAAGCGCTTAAAGCAATTATTGAGGGGATGAAGATCTCCAATATCTCGAATGAATAGCATTTAGTAGCGGTGGCTTATCAATTATATTTGACGTCGATGCTGTAATGAGACGGTTTCAATAATTATTTTGTAACCATTCGTACGGCGTCGTTTTATTTATATTTATATTCCCAGTCAAATTAAATAATCAAAATCTGTATGCCGTAACCATGCTAATTTTTGTTGTTTTTTTTTTTATCTTATGAGTCTGTGCATACACTTTTGTATTTCCTCGAGTGGTTTTTCTTATCTTTGATAATTTAATAAAAACACGCGCACTCGATCTCCCACTATCTACCTATCTACCTTTGTGATATATATATATATATATATATATATATATATATTATGCATATGCGTATGTTTGCGAGTGTGCGCGCGTACATGTATCAACTCTACTGCCATCGTACGTTAAAAGTACCAACTCGTATGCAATTGTAGACGTTCGTTCTTTGTACACGTCGGTATGGGAGGAGGTAAATAAAAAAACAACTGACGTGAATTCAATATAAATACAATATATTATTAAATTGATTTTTTTTTTTTTTTTTTTTTTTTTTTTTTTTTTAAATACAATTTAACAACGATTATAAACGACTAATACACGTTAATAAGATTAAATGTTTAGATAGAATTCCTTTAGATCGATCATTATTTTAACGCGCTATAAAAGACGGCTCATTATTTGTTAATATATAACAACAATATAAGCCATAAGTTGAATTAAAATTGTATAATGTTGATGAAACAATAAACATAAGAGAAATGGAGCTGAATGGAATAATGTATTTTCATGGAAAATAATATAGGCCGCGCACTGAGCGTCGTTTCGACTTCGTTAACGACTGCCGAATAATACATTATCAATAAGAAATAAAAATCAATGCTCGAGAGTATTATGTAAGTAATGCTGGCAGGAGTAGCAATTTAACAAGGCTCTCGCTATTTAATGCGAGTGCGCGATCCGGCGGTGCTCTAACCAGGAAAGCGCCCGCGCGAGTGTCGTGCGCAAGGTGTCCGCGTACTCCAAGCTCGCGCTGCCAATTTACATACACAACCGCTACTCACAAACGCTATAATAGATAAGAGCATCGAGGAAATGGAGTCGCAGACTCACGCGTGCAGGACGTAGGCAGTGCCGTAAGTATCGACCAAGGATGGATCGCGCGATATTGGCAATGGATGGTTGGATGGTTGGGTGGTTGGGTGGTTGGGAGGTAGTGTTTGGGGGTGGGAGGGGGGGGGGGGGGGTTGGGGGCCCCGCTCCGCTGCTGTCTCTTTATAAAACAATGGATTACGGATTAATCGCTCCTTGCGAGGGGATTAATCGCTTTGGTGCTGTAATGCGCGTGTCCCATAAGACGGGGCGAGCCAAGCTCGAACAGCAGAGCGGTGCATGTGTATCTTACGTGCGCGCGACTTTTCTCTGTCTTCGTTCATTGCCATTACAATCACCATCTCCATCACCGTCGCTATCGCCATCGTCGTCGTCGTCGTCGTCGTCGTCGTCGTCGTCGTCGTCGTCGTCAAAGTCGTCAAAGTCGTCGTTGTCAAAGTGATCGTTGTCGTCGTGTCGTAGCGAGCAGAGCGAAAGGGACTAATATGATTGCTGCCGCTGAAATATCGTAGCTACTTTGCAACAGCATCGCTTACCTCGGGAAGATGTAGACTCTCACAAGCTGTGGTGTAACAGGTAAATGATATTATTGAACAGCCGTGCAAACGCGAAGCATGTGCGTAACGTGCTTTGACGAAATTACCACGCGAAAGAACGATTCGGCTGTCGTTTAATGCGAGCATCGGTGGCTGAGGCGGTGGCGGCAGCGGCGACAGTGGCAGCGGCGACAGCGGCGGTGGCGGCGGCGACAGCGGCGGTGGTGGCCAAAGCAATTATTATAGATGCCAATCTCAGTCACTGACACACGACGAATTGACAGTTGACCGCGGAGGTAGAGCCTAAGAATAATAATAGTAATGTGTGTTGTGATAATGATT